TTACCAACACTTAGTGTAACTAATTCCCATGACCCTTTAATTCTGTTCAGAAAGAACAATAAAAGGTCAAAGAGGAAACAAGGACGTAATATTTCAATCTGTCTTTTCCTGTGGAAGAAGGTATAGGCTGTACTTGATACAGGGGCAAAATGCAGAAGATTGCTACATTTCATCAGAACATCATTGTAAAAATCAGTCTTAAGGGCAGGTTCGACACGGTCTAGATTGCTCCATGTACATCTGTGATAAGAGTTTGAATGCCAGTGAATTTTCCAGTTCAGCAGAAAACTCCTCTAGCCAACCCTTCTGACACAATCTCATAGCACAGGGAAGAATTATGTCCCAAGAACTGCATGGCTTTTTTTCTGCAGCAGGAATTCTACCCAGAAGGTATACTTGGGGGAAAAAAATCCCAAAGATTGTTGAAAACCAGGCTGCAATCAGCACCAACGTGGAAATCACTTTATCATATTGACTGGCTTCCCTTTGCATTGTTTCAGTTACTTCAGCATGTGTGTACTACATTTACCTCAGACTTCAAGGAAAACCCTAGTCCTAAGAGAAGCACTGGATATAAATTACATGAGTCCATAGCATTGAGTTTTTAACATTCTTAGTCTAAATAAATTTTCACTTCTGTTTTTCTCATGATCTCCATAGGCAAATGCTAAACTTTTTTTTTACTACAGTGAAAATTTGTAGTATTGTTGTTTAGCTACTTTTGGGTGTTGGGCATTGTATCAGTTTTATTTCTGCACACATTTCCTGGCAAAATCTTTAAATGGAAGTAACTAATTAACATGTACAATATATATGTACAATATACAGAAATCAGCTTGCAGTTCTAAAAATTATTTACTTTGCAGTGTATTTGTGTCATGTAAATAAACATCCATTTCTTAGGATACATCACAGTAATTGTACCTGTGGATAGTACTGGACAGTGTAACAAAACCAGGCAGCCAAGATGAAACAAGTTTTGCTCTTTGTCTGACCAACTGCTGAACTCCATTTCTTGTTTTAATAGAACTTGGTATTTGCTGGGTTCAACACTGGGCTTTTCTACTGCACAACTGTGTTAACATTTCTAATTTTCAAGCACATACACTATTAGATAACTCAAGCTTTGCTGACTGCACAAATTGCACTGCAAGTTCCCAGGTTAATGGTGGGACCTAATGAGGTGAACTACTAATCCACTATGGAGTCCTGCAGGGTCTTAAGGATGAGTTTGTAAATTGTCTGTCACTGATAGCAGTGTTGCTGGGGAACATGAAGAGTTAAGCTTAAGAAAATAAAAGCATAATTCAATAATGACTACCAAAATCTGGCTTCATTACAACAGTGAGTTCTCTCTGACCTTAGCAGGCCTTCCACAGTCAACCTGACACATGAACAGAAAAGTTTAGAGAGTGGCTGATTCTTTACCTGGAACTACAGCTGTTTAACTTCAGTCATAGATTATCTGTGTGATGGCTGGGCACAAAGCAGAATCAGCACACTTCAGGCTGACTGAACCACCACAGGCAGCCTCACCCACGGCTGGCAAGAGACACACTTTAGGGCAGAGCCTGAAGCCCAAGTTTTACAGCTACATGAACTTCCAAACATATTCACGCTGCTTAGACTAAATCTTTACCTTACCTGTGGCATCCATGAGCCCTTCTCAGCTCTTGTGCAGCCTTGCTGGTACTGCCCCAATTGCACACAAATGAGATGTGTACCAGCCACACCAGCCATAGTATTATGGGCAGTTCTTGTACTCTCCTGGGACATACCCATATTGAGGGCACACACTATGTTCTGTAAAACTGATAAACAGAGCACTTTTAAGTCTTTGTCTCTTTCTTTATTACTGCACAAGACTATCAGAAGTGACCTGAAAGCAAAAACGTAATACGGATTTATGCAGGGGAGCCATTCCAAGCAGAAAGCAGAGACAAACCAGGAAAGCATTCCGAGCTGAGAACAAGAGAGCTTTTCAAGCTGGTAACTGCCGGCACTTCTCCATCCACTCATTTGAAACAATTACTTTTTCCTGTCCTATTTTGCACCATGATTTCAAAAGAGGCTACTCATGGATTTTCAAATGGGCATAATATATTTTTGGATGACTTCTTGCTGAGTAAACATTTCTTCATTATTCAGCTAAACACATACCAGTTACTGGTTATTATTAGATAGTAATAGGATGATAAATAACTTTGGGGTTTTTTTTGTAGGAACCACTACCTAATCGCAGCCTTTACGTACCAACATCAGCTACTTGCTCCATAGTTATAAAAATCAGCTGCCCCAGTTGCAGGCTGCTGCTGCATTGTTTTTCATGCTACTCTAGTTGTTTAAGCTACAAAGCGCAGTCTGAGGAAGCACACATGGACACCTCCAGTCAATCACAAAGATGACACCTCTGCCATACCAGAAGCCAAGTAACTGTGCTAACAAACATGCAGTAATGACTGTGTCTCATCTTTAGAAAAAAAGCAGCCAGGCTTTCTACCTTGCAAGACAGCACTATAAACCGAGTAAAGCTGATACTGAAAGCATATACTGGAGACAGGGCTTGTTTTGAATTTTCACAGTGATCAATTTATATATCAAGTGCAGATCTCAGCAGTGCTTTTGCAACCATATCTATTAAATTTGTTACAACAGGACCATTTTATAAAGCCCAATGTATTTTTCTTCTAGAGACATACCTAGGAGTTAAAACATTTCCTCTTTATAACCACCTGAAGCAGTTTTGGACTTTTACTGTAAACACTATTTCCTTCAGGTAAGGATTTAGGAAACATCTACAGATAGCCTGAAGAAGAATGTATTTGCAAACAATGCAGGAGAGGTAACTGAAGTTCCGTCCACGGGTTCACCCAGCAGGAGTTAGATGCAGAAATCCTCTTCCAATAGCTTGTGAAGTAGCAATTCAGAGAAATATGATCTGTAACTTAAAGCACCTGTAAAGTTCCACACGAGGATGAACTCATGGATAGTGAGATATTCAATATAGTCAAGAGGTGAACCACTGCAGCTTTCTTATACATTAAGATAACACATTCAAATATGACTTGGAGAAAAAAAAACATGTTAGACATTCAAATTAATTAATTTAGTTTTATTAGGGCTGGTAAGGCAGTTACTTTACACATTGAAGTCATACATCATAACATGAAAATAAGGGATCTAAAGTTTATTGGGGTTGGGGGGGGGCTGTTTTTGTTGCGGTTGGTTGGTTGAAAAGTGTTGATTTTCCTCTCCACCAACCCTAAAAATTTGTATTAAAATACAAATTGTGTACAATTATTAGAGAGTATATGTTGGTGATACTGTAATATCTTAAAACAAAAAGTGTTCTAAATGAGCAGTGATTTTTGTTTTGATTGCCTATCAATAATTCACCATTAATACAGGCCAACAGTGGGAGGTCCTGGGACTGAGGAACTCAGTGGAGAACTTTTAGGATTCTTCAACACTTTGAAGTTACGCAGATTAAGTTATGACCTGTGATGTTGCAAGACTTGAATGGATGTATGAGAACGATACTCAAACACATTGTCAGAGGTACCAAGAAAATACATGTAGTAATTCAGAAGACAGTCTACTTACACTGAACCCAATGAGGACAGAACTCAAACATGCAAGCACAGAGTTGTTAGAAGTGTGCACACGTGCTGCAGAGTAACTGGAGGAAACAGACATGCTGCTGGAGAAACTGGGAACCGGTTTTACTCCTTATGCCTGGAACACAATTTTAAAAAAGAATCAATTAAAAGACAAAATATTTCAAATAGCTAAAGCATTTCACTGCGTCACTATACACGATGGGGGGGAGAACACAGAGGTACGAAATTTTCAAAACAACACTGGGCAAAAGCGAAAACTTTAGAGCCTCCAGGAAACCCTATTTTCTGGTTATATTAACAATATAATCCCTAAACTCCTCAGACTTCGAGGGAGGGAGAAATGGCTGGTTTGTTATGCAGTCCGCTTTTTAAGAAGTCCAGTTTAGACTCTGTGGTGCCTGTAAACCGCGGGGGAGGACTTGTAAAAAGCAGCTCCAGCTGCCTGGGGGCTGCCCCTGCCGTACAGTCCCCCTTCCGCCCCTTGTACACAGGAGCAGCGCCTCTTTGCAGCGAGGGAACAGAGATATTTAGGCAAACAACAAAGTGCGGCAATACTGGAAGGAGAACCCGTAGGTGGATCTGTTGTTCCCGAGAGGCCGAGCAGCTGCAGCGTTCCCCGAGCCCACGGAGCGCTGACTGGCGCGGAGCCGGGGCCCACCGCCCCTCAGCTGCTCCCGGGAGGGCCGGTTCTCCCGCCGCCGCTGAGGCACCCGAGGGAAGCGCCCCCGGGCGCGCCCGTGGAGCGGCGCGGAGGGGGCGGGGACGGAGCCGCTCCTCCTGCCGGTGAGGGAGCTGCGGTGGCGGGACCCCGGCCGGAGGGGCGGCGGCGCCCGCTGCAGGTACCGAGCGGGAGCGGGGCGGCCGCAGAGCTCTGCCCGCCTCCGCCCGGCGGGCGCGGGCACGGGGGTGACGCTCGGGGCGCACCCGCATCCCGCAGCACGGGACGCGCTTGGGGCAGCGCTCCGCAGGCGGGCGGGAGGCAGTGTGCTGCTGGCCCGGTCCGGCCCACCCCTACCTCGCCGCCGCTCTAAACCTGCTGCCCTGGCGGCGGCCGACTGCGCGCTGCGGAGAACCCAGCCCCTGCCGCCGGTGGGGCGGGGCGGACACGCCGCGGCTGCTTCCTCCTCCTGTCACCGCCCACAGAGCGACGGAACGGGGGCCTTCGCGGTTTCGCTTTCTGGCATTAACGGGAGGAGCGCCCCGCCCGCTCCCCGCCCGCTCCCCGCCCGCTCCCCGCCCGCTCCCCGCCCGCTCCCCGCCCGCTCCCCGCCTGCCCCGGCGGGCGGGCGTGACCCTCTGAGGGGGCGGGGCGGGCTGGCGAGTTGGCGGGAGCCGGCAGTGAGGGACTGCAGGCGGTTCCGTCCCGGCTCCGGAGCCCGGCGCGGCGCTGGCGCCGGGCAGCAGCGGGTCGGAGGTGCCGCTGTAATGAGGTGCCGCTGCCCGAGCTCCTGAGCCGCGCCCCGCTCTCGCCCGGCTCCGCCATGGGCTTCCCCGAGAGAAAGATAAAGTTTCCCGCTCGGCGCGTGCCCGCACCGGGAAGCCTCGCTGTGTAACCTCTTCCCCTCACCTCGCCCCCGTGTAGGCGCAACATGGTGCTGAGCGCGGACCAGGTGGCCCTCATCGGGCAGGTGTTCGAGTCCTACGTGCTGGAGCACCACAGGGACGACATCCTGGGCATCCTGAGGGAGGCGGACGACCAGGCGCACTACCCCGTCGTCGTCGATGCCTTGACGCTCTTTGAGACCAACATGGAGATCGGGGAGTATTTCAACGCCTTCCCCAGCGAGGTGCTCCCGATCTTCGACAGCGCGCTGCGCCGGGCTGCCCTGGCAGCGCTGCAGGACACCGCGGACCCAGCACAGCTCAGCCTGAAGCAGAACCTCCACGCCAGGGTCTCGGGTGAGTGGCGGGGCAGGGGCTGCAGTGAGCTGCATCTCCCAGTCAAGTTTCCTTACTCTGGAACAAACTATTGGGGTGCCATGGGAATGAGCAAGTTTAATTCTTGCCGTTTCACTGTTTGAAGCGGTAGGGAATCTTTAGCGTCTATTAAGCAGGAAAGAACACATGCAAATACATGGAGGTGTGTAGACCAACCGCCCAAAAAGAGCTATGGCCATTGCCACTGACCTGCATGCAGTGATTGGCATTTGTTGGGTCAGGGCTTATACTAAAGCCTTTCCTTTACTAAAGCTCCTCACATCAGCAGCTGGTCTTACATTATTTCTCTTCTAGACAGAAAGTCTAAAGAAAAGTTTTAGGGGAAGATATATGGTTTGTAAGTTTAATTGCAGGTTGACTTTGCTACTGTGCCAGTTGGCTCATCGTCTTTTTTTACTCCAGCCACCTCCCAGAAGAGGCAAAGTCAAAATTTTGAGTTGTCCTGTAACAATTCCATTTGAAATTGCTGAATTTTATGCTTAGCTGTAATAAAATTGCTTGTTATAAAATTGGAATGAACTGTTGAAAGGCATGATCGTTAACAGGGAACTTTGTCATTTTTTCCACTGCAAGTTGATATGCCATTATTCCTTATTAATAAGAAATTTCTAGTAGCTTTGAGGGCTGGTAGGTGTGGAGTGCAGATTCAGGAGTTGAAATGTCTGTTTTGCCTGCTCTGGGAGACTGGGTCAGTGGTGGCATCATCCCTTCTGATAATTTCTGGTCATAACTATTTGGAGCAATAGTCCACAAAGCCAAGAGGTGGCAGCCTGTGTTTCCCTCCCCTGCCTTCTTGTGGAGTGGATTGTGATCATTCAGTCTTTTGACATCTTGGACTTGGATAAATTACAGTTGTTAAATAGGCCTGTGTTTCATTCCAGTAAGTTTCAGTAAAAATGTTGTAATGAAAACACATCAGTCAGAAATACAGTTAGCCTGTGGCTCTCACAATGCTATTTTTTCAAGATTTTTAGAGGGAAAGAAGTTAAAAAAAATAAGGCTTGCTACCAATTCAGTTGTTAAGGAGCTTGTACACAACTGCTGAGTATGTGATGTAAAAAAGGATGGCCTCCGTGCTTACTGAAATTTGTCATTGGGCATCTCCCTGTACCTATGAAAGCAGGACTGAATTAAAACTCTCCTCCTAGTGTTCTAGAATGCATGTGCATCATTCAGAGCTTCAGCATGAGAAAAAGACTCCAAGTGGGATTATTTTAAAAGCTAGCAGGAAGTATTAGAAGAAGTACAGCAAGGGGCAGATGATCACTGCATGAGTAGCGGTGTCTTTAAGACATTCCTGCTCCTGTTATCAGCCTGTTACTGGAGCTGATCATTCCTCCCACAGTGATGTTTTGTCTGAATATTCCCTTATAAACCTCAGGCAAAATTAGCAACGTTTGATCAAGTAGTTTTAATAACTGATAAAAGCAAGCCTGACAGAAGAAGTCAGCAGACTACAAATAACCCTCTCACTAAGCTGGAGGGACATTGATGAACAGGGGGGTTATCCTTGAGTGGTCCAGCTGGATCAAAATAACATCTGTCCACATAGTTTAGTTAATGTTCTGTACCACCAAAAGGCTGGCTTCGGAAGAAACAGAAGAAATAAGCTAAGGGATCTGTAGCCTTCTTTCCACACCAATTTCCCAATGATACTGTTACCTTTCAAGTGGATTCTGGGTTTTGGTTACCTTCAGGATTCTCCTCTTGGAGTGCCACTTCCCATTCCTACATTAGATGAGAAGGGAATGAGAAGGTGGGGCATTATTTTTGGTGAGAGCAGCAGACAACTAACTGGAGTGCGGCTGAGGGGATCTTCGTGTCAGGCATGGAATGAAGTGAGGAAAAGTGGTTTTGCTTATGCCGGGTATAAGATTGCAATCTCGACACACTGCTACCAGTACATCTAGGAGTTCAAAGAGGGATTCAGGGAGTGTGAGTGTGCAGCAGTTAATAACAGATGATTACCTTGGGTTAACTGAAGAAGGTAAAAGATGAAGTTATCTGAATTTTAGCATTGTGGGAATTTGATTGTGTAACTTCTGCATTTTGCTACAAATCCATGAAATGATTTTTCCTTACCATTAGCCTGAGCACTGCTGTGTCTGTTACTGAAGGCCAAGCTGCTTCTAATAGTTCAGCGTTTTTGTGACTGATACAGTAAAGTTGATTCAAAGAGGCACATACTCAATTAAAGAGTTCATCAAGCAGTCTGATATGATCAGAACAAAGGCTCTTTTTTCACATCCAGACTCTTGTCTCTTCAAAATTCACAGGGATGATCATCATATATCCTGACAACAGTGCTGCAGTTCTCTCTAGTGTAAGATGTGTTGTATTTTGCAAAGTTTGTTGAGGGGCACCAATACTGAGCTGGGAAAAAAATGCCAAAACAGTTGGAGAAATAATGGATTTTTTTTCCCTGAACTGATTAGAAATGCAAACCTGTGGGAGAAAAAAAAATTCAACAGGTTTGGTAGAACATGTAAGTAGCTTTGCTAGAGTCAACCAGGAAAAATTTGTTTGCAGTTTTACAGATTATTTAATTCCTTTCTACGTTTTCTTAACTTTATTCTTTTACCTTTTAAAATTAGCTTAATAGTTAAAAATATTTTCTTTAAACAAAAGCAAAAGGTTAAACGTTGCTTAAAAGCATCAAAACAGAGTGTTTCAGAGTGTCTGAAATAAAGCATTTAGTTTTGAAAACACTGATATAAACATATGATATCTTTTTTTTAGCAGTCAAAGCTCCTAAGAAGATTTGACCTAGATGCACAAATAGTTTTAGTCCCCTTAGAAACATCATTTCCCAACAGATTTGTAATTTTACATCTCTATTTTCTGGCTCTGTTTTAAAGCTAAGAAATTATTTTAGGAGTAGGTAATATCTTTTTAAGTTGATAAATATTAGTATCTTGTAGTTCATTACTACTTTCTGAAGAGGCAATATTGTGCTCAGGTGATCATTTCAGAGATATGTAAAGTTGAGGTAGATTAATTTTCCTGAGGACTTTAGCCACTGTGGTGCCAAGTGATGGCTGCATGAGTGAATGCCGGAACAGGATCGGGACACCACTGAATTGGCTGTTGGGGTGGAATTAAAGGAGGGCAGGTGGAAAGTGTTCTGTCACTATTCACTTGAACTTACAAGTGAATTTGCTTTGGTTGTGTTCAAAACTCCTTTACATTTTTTTTGTGCTGTCTTCCTTGTGCTTGAGCTTTACTGGTATGCAATGTGGATTTAAGGTCAAATGCTCACCAACTGCGAATTTTAAATTTGCTTAGACTTGAGAATTCACACAAGACTAGGAGGTACAGCTGTTTAACTATGGAATAACACTGAACTACAATTAAGTAGCATAACTTAAAATTTTGTAAGTCAGATAAACTAGTTGTAGAAGAAATGGCTTCTGCAAAAAGAACATTTAAATTAATAAATAGATCTGAGAACATCAGGATCTTCTTCCATGAATGGAAACTGTTCGTGACTATTCAGCCCTTGGCAAGAGAGGGAGAGTAAAATGGCAACATTTTCAGTTAATGCTCAGTGTCTGATGATTTTCACTATCTGAGGCCAGTGAATCAGATTTATGGTACAACAGATGAATTGCTGAGTCACATTTATGAAACAGTAATAACAATGGCTACTGTTCATATGTCTGGCATGTCTTCTAGCCTTTCTGTTTAACTGCACTGTAAGTCCATGTTTTATATGCACAGCCTTATGCTGCACATATTTCTGTTTAACAGGTTTGCCTGTTTGCCCAGAGCTGACTCGAGAGCACATTCCTAAAACCAAGGATGTTGGTCACTTTTTGTCTGTTACTGGGACTGTCATACGTACCAGCTCGGTGAAAGTTTTGGAGTTTGAACGGAGTTACATCTGCAACAAGTGCAAGCACGTGTTTGCTGTCAAGGCTGACTTTGAACAGTACTATGCATTCTGTCGTCCATCAGCCTGTCTTAATGAAGAAGGCTGCAACTCAATCAAGTTCACTTGTCTCTCTGGAACAGCCTCTTCTCCTACCTGCTGCAGAGACTATCAAGAAATCAAAATTCAGGAACAGGTAAGGAAAAAAAAAAGATGGAGAAAAAAGGAAAGGTATTAAAGTATAGATGTCTCAAGTACAAAAATAATTAACTTACGAAAGAAGACATTTGGGGGTCTAATTTCCTGTTGAAATAAGGTATCTCTGCTAATCTTGGTGAGACTATTCATGCTAACATTAGAATTAAGATTATCCCATTTTCATCGTTAAGTTTTACATGCTAAGATAAGTGGAAAAGTTTTACAGGTTCTACTGTTGTTTAAATCAAATGCCTGAGAAGACTAAAAGAAGCCAGGCAGCCTGTTGGTCAGAGATTTCTCAAAGAGTTAACAATTAAGCAACATGTTGATTAGACTTCTGTTATTGGGTAACTCCATTTGATGTTGTACAAAACACCCAGGATCAGTGCACAGATGAAATTTCTGTAGATGAAATTCCATTCCATGTTGAATCCTTACATCAAGTGTGCATTGTTTCTCTAAGCACTTACTGGACATGATGCTGATGTTCAACACTGCTTCTGAGGACTAGAGCTAACCCAGTGGTGGCCAAGGCCAACTGTAGCTGTGCAGTATGGTCAACACATGGTGTCTGCAAACATCTCCTCCCTTCAGCCAATATTGAATTCAACAATTATTGCACATGTGATCTTTACAGAATTTGCATTTGTTTTCTGATGGTAGCCCTGAGTGGAAGTACAGCCAAGCTGGAGGAGTTAGAAACAATTGGACCTCTTTTTGTGGTAGCACATAACCAAGACAAAACTGGCAAAGGAAAATCTACACTGTATGAAAATTGAGAATAAGCAGGGTATATTGCAGGCAATGTTTCTGTGTTTATTTATATGCTCAGTGTCTTTTTTTTGTAGATCTTTTCTAAGATATCTTCAGTTGTTTCAGGGTTTTGATTTTATAAATGGAGAGGATAGTGGTGCCAATCTACATGCAAGATGTATGAAATTAGAAATGAAGCTCTTGAAAGTTCAGAATAGCAAAAAAAAGTAAGGGATTAAAACTTTCTAGGAAATAAGCCCTGTGTTGCATGTTCATATAATGATTCTTCCTGACATATGGGAGATTTCTATAACTTTCTGGTTTATTGTGTGACACACAGATCTCTATGATAGAAGGAATTTTCAGCACCATGGGCTTATTAAAAACAGTAAAATTAAACCAGGATTGAATTTCACTTGTGTTTCACTACTGAGCTCTGCAAGTAACTGTGCGTGTGTTACCAGTACTGACAGTGATGTGAACTGCCTGTGCCCACGCAGATAATATACAAGGGTGGATTAACCTTCCTAGGCACTAGAGAGAGAATAAGTCTAGAATTCTAGCATGTATGACCTGTGCTGCAGAATGAAAAGAAACTTCTGGCTGTTGTACTTGTGCAGTGGATACTCTAAAAACTATTGCAAGCTTTAAGTGTAAATGGGAAGATTGCTGGTTGGAAATAGATTCTGACCAGATTGCATAGACTTTGCCCTGGAGAAAAGAAAAAGAATTACAGGATTTACTGGCACATTTGTCAATATATATATTTGTTTTTTCCGGTTGTTGATTTAATCCCTGACAACTAGGTGTATACTTAATCTCGAACTCTCAAATTATGGTTAAATACCAGAAAAATACAGAGAATATTCTCTCAGTATGTACTTCCGTGAAGGGTTATCTAACGCATTGACACGCTTCAGTACCCAAAGTCAACTTTGCATATTGAAGTATCTAATAATAGCTCAAATTATAATAAAAAAAAAGATCAGCTCTTTCAAATGACCTCTTTTAGTGAGCTTTCTTCAGCAAAATATTGAAATCACACTGCATCTCCCAGCACTGAGCACCTTCTACTAATTTAATACTCAATCCCATTTCCATTAATATCAGCATTAAACTTTCATTGTTAAGTTCATGGCAGCAGTGGCATCTTTTACTGTAAGTTTTGTGATAAAAGGCAAGAACTGACCTCCGTTCCAGGAAAGAAAGGAGTGTAGGTCTTTAGGCCAGAGCAGCTATAAATGAAAGGCTTTTGAAAGCTGCTATTCTTAAGAAGCTCTCTTGCTTCCCATCTCCCAGGTTCAAAGGCTGTCTGTTGGAAGCATCCCTCGTTGCATGGTGGTTGTTCTGGAAGATGACTTGGTGGACAGTTGCAAGTCTGGTGAGGATACAGCATATATCACATATGTTTGTACCACAAGCATTTTTAGTTTTTCATTTGAGATGAATCTTTGTCAAGTAGGCTGTGTTAGTGCAGAGAGCTTGTCAAATGAGGTGTCTGCATCTGTCATGTTGCTGTTTCAGGATGGACAGTAGCATGGCAGTTGAAGACTATTCTAGAGAATGTCATGAACCCCCATATTACATCTTAACTTTTTAACAGTTCAGTTTCAATAAGTAATGGGTTGTGACATACAGAAACTATATTAAATCACGTTAATGTAGAACACCAAACCTCTCGAGGAAATTGGTTCACACCATCACCCAGCATGTGTTGCCCCTTCTTAGATTCAAAGAGCCGGGTAACCCGGCTTTCTATCTAAGGAGTGCTGCAGGTGGAAAAAGCTACTGGCCATTCAAAGAAGAAGCTAATTGGCAGGAGGATGAATGAAGAATGGACTACAAATTCTCAGATAGGCACATCTCCACAAGAAATTAATTTCTGATCATACTTTCTCAGAAGAACACTGTACCCAGAATGTTAATGAGTGATTCTGGAGTTCATAAAAGTTACCAGAAATCAAATAAGTTTTGACTGAATTTTTTGTATAGTCAATCTAATTGAGAGAGCTTCTACAGTTTACTGTGAATTCCTCTCTTCTAAAAGAGGAAACAAACAGAGGTATACCTGTAAGAATTCACCTCCCTTAAAAAGAAGTGGAAAGACACAGCAACTTCCTACCACAGATGTAAGCACTCTACCTTATCTTTGTTTTAGACTTCCTGTAACTGCATTGCATTATTATGCATTACAGCTAACTAAAATGGCTTCATGTCTCAAGTCAGATGTTATTTTGCTAACTTTTGTTTTTACCTCCAGGAGATGATATCACAGTGTATGGCGTGGTAATGCAGAGGTGGAAACCTTTCCATGAGGGTTCACGCTGTGACTTGGAGATTGTTTTGAAAGCCAACTACGTTAAAGTGAACAATGAGCAGCTAGCAGGGGTTGTAATTGATGAAGAAGTTCGCAGGGAATTTGAAGACTTCTGGGAAAGGCATAGGAATGATCCCTTAGCAGGTTAGTAGTTGAAAGCTTTTATGTAGGGCGCTTGATTGGATAGAGATGAAATCAGGAGTGAAAATACAGTGACTGAACACATTTTCCCCCATTATCCTATCCCACCACCCATTAATCCAAGAATATATTTTTTCCAGTACAAGAATACGAAATTTTTACTTTAATATTACTGAGGGGGAGGAAGTACCAAAACTACTGCATTGATCTTCCTTCTTTTGAGCTTTCTAGTCAAGTATTTTGTGGAACATTTATTAACAAAAAATGAGAAACAATATAATTACTGTGGGGGAAAAGAGGAGTGTTTTATAATCAAGAAAGACGAAGCATACTTCTTAGAAGAAATGGTATGGACCAGATCTGCCTTTAGTCAGCGTAGCTGTTGCCTCTGGGACGAGAGATCTGACTCGCGGTCTCTGCATCCCAAACTAAGCTGTGAATCTTCACCATAGAGCTTAGCACATCTTATCTTTAAGCTAACCCTTGGATGCCTAGACCCTTGACTTAGGTGCAGTGGAACCTCTCAATTCACAGTGGCTTCCAGAACAGTCAGTGCTGGGTCCTAAACTTAGTGTAGTCTGTAGTCAACCACCTTGGAATAACCAGGAGTTGTGTCTGAAACTCTCTCCTTCTCCATAATCTGAGTGCCTTCTCCTCAACTCTGTGGAATCTCAATGAAGTCTTTAGGGTCTCCATCACTGAATTTTTTTAGGCTGACACTGTATCTTATAAAACCCTGGAAAGGGCTTAGTTTTTCTTCTTAAAAGACAAACAGGAGGAAAAAGAGGTGGGAATATCCCCCAAATTAGCCTGCTCACATAAGAAACTGTAGATCCTGTCAATGTTAAAGATTCTTCAGAACTGCATTTCCCAGAAAGCAATTTAATTGCTAGCTTCCTGCTGTTTGGAATGATACATGTTTGGAATGTTTGGAATACAATGTTTGGAATAACATTTCATCCTTCTGCTCTTTGGAACAAGATTATTATCACTCTGGTTAGAACTGTTCAGAAAGTAATTCAGGATCTTCTTTGAAGGTTCCATTTAATCTTTCATTCTCAGGACAATTTTTGGAAGCCTGCAGGGAGCAATGTGATTTTGTGCAATATTACTCATTCTGAACAAATAAGTATGAAGTGGGTACAAGAAAATTGAGGTGGAAATGAGAAGGACCCTGACTGCCCAAGATGTCTGTTTCAGGCTGTTAGTCTGAATTTGAGTTGAAATGGAGGACAGAGATCAAATTTGACTGAGGAGTCTAAGGTATAGGCCATTGCACAACAGAATGTGTGTACATTTGCTGGTTTTCAAGAGATAATGGTAGCTACCACTGCATTTTATGTCAGTCACTTCGTGATGCTAACTCCTAAGTGTGGAGTTAATTCTTGAGTTATGCCATGGCTGACCAAAGTTTTTAAAATTTCACTTTTGGATGGACAAAGATGTGTTAATTCCTTCAGAAAACCTCCAAAAGAAACACATATGCCTCAAGTCATCTATTAGGGGCTTACATATTTTGCCAGTACCATGTAATTGCATCTAAATTTAAAACATGAAGTTAAGATCTTAAAATTGGTCACTCTCTTTTATTCCCTAGCAATGGGAGTAACACATCACATTAAACCTGTGACCCCTTATGTGCTGGTAGTGTTAGAATATTAAAGGACAGAATTAATTCTGTTACATATCTTGCAAGCCATCATCATTGTGCTGGAAAGAGACTACGGTAGGGAGGAAAAAAGGGATCTGTGACACAGAAGGGTCAAAAATGAAAAGGAAATTGAAGGTAACAACAAGAAAATGAGCCATGCTGTGTGTGCACAGGTTTAAGACAAAATAATTCAAGTGTTAGAAGTTTTCTTTATTTTCTTAAATGTACAACACACCAGCTTTCAAGGGCTGTTTCGAAGTCTGGAAATTTTTAGGTTTTATTCTTCATAGCCCCTACACTTTTAGCTATGAAACAAAAGAATTTGGATGATGGTATTTCTTTCCTTAAAGCCCTTTTTTCCTGCTATCCAGACCATACATTCCTTAAATTGCAATAGGATTGGCTTTGCTGCTTGTGACTGTTTGGGTCAAACAACTGCTTTGGGTCCCATTTAAAAAATAAAATAATTTTTAAGAAAATCTTCTCCCTACTCTGTTCCTCTTGTTCAAGAAGGAGGCCCAAATTATTTGTCAGTATACACAGGAGTCTGTGGGAAACCAAGTTTTACTCCAGGGGCAGTGCTGAGTGCCATTTTTGCTGTTTTAGGGAGGAATGAAATTTTGGCTAGCTTATGTCCTCAAGTTTTTGGCTTGTACCTGGTGAAGCTGGCTGTAGCCATGGTGCTTGCTGGTGGTGTACAGAGAACAGATGCTACTGGAACTCGAATCAGAGGTTAGTATTCTTTCTAACAGTATCAGATCCTTTCTAACAGTCATTCCCATCCCTGTCTTCACCCACATCCCTCCCCCCTACAAAATCAAACCAGTAAGGTCTTGGAAGCATAATGATCCCATTTTCTTGAGTGAGAACATTTTTGATCAATCCTGAGTATTATTGCAGAATCTCAACAAATAAATTTTTCCCCCAAAAAACCCCAGTAGAAGCAGACTTTCAGGTTTCCATTAGGTACAATATTAAAGGCAGCTGTTTTATCTAAAATATAAATTCACTTTTTATTGTATAAGTGACATTTTTAAATTATTTCTAGTAGACTATTCCCAGCAGTATTGGCATCAAAGGATGGAATCTTAATGTTCCCTTAATGTCAATCACTACAGTTCATTGAAAGGAAAAATTAAAGGATTCATTTTGCTTCCTAATGCCAGACTTTTCCATCTATGATTGTCAGCACATCTCACTTAGTTCTGTAACTCCCAAGTTATCTGCCTGCTGATTCTCCTTCTGTTGTTATTAGATGGCAAATCTGCCATGTGCCAGGTGGTATGCAGGTCATAATCTATGTAGGTCATAATAATTCTAAAATAGGATGTCTCTCTATACACATACAGGATTTTCTTAATGCTCCAGCAGCTACGTAAAGTTATAGACTTTATGATTGAAGTTGTAGTGATATTTTGTAGACAGTGAAATAATTTTAGAGCACTTCAGTGAGATTGTAGTAGCCAAATTATTGTTTTGAAATTATGAAGTTATGTAACTGCTGGCAAAGAATTAGTTAAGAAAAACAACGTGCTGATTTTATTAGTCCATTTTGCAATAATTTAAGTAACCAAGTAGTGGAATGATAACTAAAACCTGGTATCCTTCTGTTTCAAGTTCAAGAGTGAGATGAGCCTGAGAAATGAGTATTCTAAAATGTAAGAATTCTCATTACAGGAAATGTGCAGAAACCTGCTAATACTTTAAAAATATTTCACTGTAAATATTTGTGTCCAGTCATATTGCTGGGTGAAGGAATATGACTAGATGCTTTTATTAAACAATAATTTATCACATTCAATACATAGTGCAGTCTTAAACAGAATCACATATTGTAATGTATATGTAGCGCTAAATGTTAGGTGAATAATTACAAGTATTATTTAATCTGAGCATTTTTTGTATCTGTGTGTCTTTATCTGTACTGTCTGCTCTACATCAATGTTCTCTCCCAAGGTGAATCGCATCTTTTGTTGGTTGGAGATCCAGGTACAGGGAAATCTCAGTTCCTGAAGTATGCAGTAAAGATCATGCCACGCTCCGTGCTTACTGCAGGAATTGGATCTACAAGTGCAGGTATGTGCTTCTTCACCTGGAAAGGTTTATTTTCTCACTCAAATATGTTTATATAGAAGCCTTCTACATATTATGAACATATGTGCTCAGGTTGTATGAGCACAGCTGAAGCAGAGAACTACTGTGGAGGCATATGAGGCCTGATATAACTCTGCAGAAGGGCAGTCCTGCCCTTCAGCTGTATCCGTGGAGGACTGGAATGAGCTTCTAACAGGGAACCTTCCAGGCCTCATCCAGAGGCACCTCTCAATGCTTTACTTGCAGAGGGTGATCTGGACCTGTATTTTTAGTGCTTTCCAGTATGACAAATACGACATCTTTCCAGAGCTCACACTGTGTGATGGGCTAGCATCCTGACCAGATATCTCCTTTCTTCTGTTCTTTCATAAGTTCTGTCTGGATGCAGTTGAATTTCTGTTTGCTTTCCGGAAATTCACCCCTGTGTTGAGGAATTATTTCTTACTCGTAAAGATGATTTCAAGGTGGTTTCAGAGAGCTAGTGGGTTTTTTTCTTCTTTGTTTTTTTTTCTTTCTCCTTTTTGTTAAATTTAAGTATGTCCCAGTTGGCTCTGAATGCCAGGCATTTTTACAAACTCTTCTGGGGACAATGTGCAGAGTCAGATTACCTCTGCCAGTGGCTTTATTTGAACAAATGAATATATTACTTGTACGTTCAAAATCACAAAATAATTAGGGTCAAATCCCAGTGTCTCAACTAGCATGTGTAAATTGAATACTTCTCAAATAGTGCTGCTTTTCATTTTATGCCTGGGAAACAGCATTATTTATACATGGGACAACCAGAGAATAAATCCTTCCCAGTTCCATAGCTGTGTGTATACTGGGTCTTCTGTAGCAGTGGAACTGGAATGTGATGTCGAACATAAACCCACTTGTGTGCAGGGAACTTGTTATGAAACATATATGCCTCTAATTTTCCATTTAAACTGTTGACAAATAGGTCTGGAGAGAAGCCAGAGAGAAAATTTTGGCTCAGCATAACCTTTTCTCAAGTCTTTTTTTTCCGTGTTAAGAACTGAGAACAGAATGGATAATTGCGGATTTGCTAGGGGACTTACAGTGATCTGGAGTGAAATTTTGCCACACATTTCAGCGTGACTTTGCCCACTTTTGTCAGTGCACTTCCTGTGCAAGGTGTGTCTTACTTATGAATCTGTTTGTAGCTGTACCTAACATTGATTTTTGTCAACTTGCCCTTTGTGCAGAAGCTTCAAATTATGAGTTTGAAGAACTATTAAACTGCTTTACTTTCCTTACCATATTTGCACACCTTGAAGTACCAGTTTATGCTTTCTCATGAGAGGACAGTCCTAATTCATATTTTTCCCTTCCGTGTACAAATATTAAATCTGTAAATTTCATTTTCAGCTAGTTCCTCACTATATATATTACAGATTACATTTAATTGCTGGGTCTGGGATTTTAGTCCACATAGGCCAAAAGACACACCTGAGGTTTGGTAAACCCTGGAGAAGTGCTAAAAACTGTTTACATTTGGATCCCTCTTTTAGAGAAAACTGCCGATATCTAACCAACCTTTGGTAAGATTCTGTGCATTAACATATCTTGTACCCTTTACCCATCTGGTACAGTTTTAGGACACAAGCTATTTAACAACCATTGAATTAGAATTCTGCTTCCTAAACTGTCTGTCATATCAGTTTTCCTTAGTTTTCTGCACAAGCATTTCTTTGTACCAGGACAACGTATTAGATCATTAACATTCTCCTTGTGCCACAATTCCCTTTCTTTCCTGCTCTATCTTAGGTGTCATGTACTTTGGGATCCACCATGACCCTTTGGGGCTCTGCAGTGTCATGTTCCTGCTGCAGCCCATTAACCCATCCAGTCCTAACTGGAATTGCCTTGCAGAATTTCAGAAAACACTGACCTAACTCCTGCAGCTTAATTTGCTGTTGGGCCTCTACTCTTTCAATCAGGTTGCTGCCTTCCCCTTCACTTTTTAAACAAAGCCTGTGCTTCATCACTTTTTGCATGATTCAGAAACTGTGACCCAGGAGAATGCCTGCTTTCTTGCTGAAGATATGGAAGACCTTCATCTTCCTATCTCACCGACAGGCTCAAGCTGCCTTATTGCTGCAAACAGCCCTTACAAATGACCAATAATCTATTCTCTGGTTTGAAAAAATAGAACTTTACCTCCATGCAGTGAATATGTTTCTGAGTTTACTTGTTTTATTAGGTTGCCTTTCTTGCAAGCACTTAGTAGAAATTTTCTGTTGAGTTTTCTATGGGTTTAGGACTTCAGTGAGGAACCTGGGTTTTTTCCTGCAAATCTCTTTAATGAGAGTTGGCAGCTAGAAGACCAGCCCACATGCAACAACTCCAGAAATTTATTTGACCAGTGTAGGACTTTCTGATTTGTAAATAAAAGATGGGGTAACCATCTGTCTCACTGTTTGGTTCTGTCTACACTGTTTTTTCAAAGGCCTGTTTCATTCTTCCCAGCTAGTCTCTCTTCTGAGAATCACAGAGAGTCATTCAGCTTCCTTTTATTTTTAGAAATTGATACATAGTTTTCCATAGAGACTTAGTGAGGCTTAACAAACTCTCTCTGTAGGTTCTCACCTTACTGAGTTTAACCAGCTGTTTTGCAGTCCCCAGAGCCATAGCACTGCTTATGCATATTTGGACGAGATGATCACTAGTAAGAAAATATTTCATTTACCCTGGAGTTTGAGATCTGCAGTGATTGATTGGTATGTTCAACTCCATAGGGACAGGAACCAACACATGCCTGTTCTGGCAGGTCTGGAGCTCTGGGACATCTGGGCCAGTCATTCTGCTGCTTCTTGGTGCATATTTGGCCGTTCACATTTCTGAAAGTTTTGTTTGGTGTTGCGTCCCTCCACAGATGGACTGCTTAAATAATTTTGTGAACTGTATTTAAAACAGCCTGCCTAAAAGTCTGGGAGACTATCAGCTGTTTCTCCAGCTCTCCAGTTTTGTATAACATGCCTTTCTGAGCTGTATGAAATGCAGCCTGGTTGCCTTTCCTCTTACAGCCTCTGCAGAGCCTTGTGAGTGAGTGCTGCCTTTTTGCTGACATTTTGCACTGTGTGAGATTGTCCATATCATGCCAACAGCAGTTTACTACCGATTTTCTTTCTTTTCATTGAAGGGAACTGACTCCAGGGGAAACCACCTCTTTTTTTTTTCTGTCATAGTAAGCGTCACCCTGCTAGGCAGTCTTCAGGTGCTAAAGGCTGTCTCTCCTCTGATCCATTAGAAACCAATCCAAAGTGGCTGACATGAGCCATCCAGCTGTGGTTATAAATAGAGTACATGGTGTCAGTATCCTGAGGTATGCAAGACACTGAAACTGGAGATATTTTTCCCTCTTTGTAGATCCCAAACTGTCCCTGGGCATTCCCAAGTTGCTACAAGCCAAGGCAGTGGCAGGGAACAGTTTTCCACTGTAGATTCATTCCCTGTCCCTGATAAAGTTATTAATACAGATGCAGCCTTTAGGCCACTCTTCTCTGATCTTCACTTCCACCAGGGGATTGTTTTCCTGAACAGTTATAATTGTACATGAACTTGAAGTATTTTCTATCAGCATGTACCTTGAAATATTTTCCTGAGAGCATGGCTTCATTGGCTGTTCCATCAACAGTTGGGCCTCAAGTTGAAGAGGCCTTAACTCTGTAGGAAGTCTGCTAGACTTCCTGCAGGAATGAAATTTGAACTTGTGATCAAACACCGTCAGATATGTTCCATCTGTAACAATGTCTCATCTATTGCAGATTCTTAAAATCCCTTAATTTCCTCTCAATAATGCTGCTCCAAGATGGCTTTGTCCTGAGACAGCTTACCTTCACCTCCTGCATGCCAGGGATTATTTAGCCAAGTTTTCAAAAATTTTGGTCTGTTCATACATCTGTACCTGAAGACCTATAGTTAGGATGGATGAGAAATATTGCAGGAGCAGTGCAGCCACTTCATCGTGTTGGCTGAAGGTTTCAGGTCTTTCACACATCCAGGCCAGCCTTCATCAGACTTATTCATCCTGCTGTTGAAATGGCAAGCA